GCAGAGTGATGAGGGGCAGCTGGGCAAAGACACACTGGGGAACATGGAAAACACTAGGAAAACTGAGAATAAACACAGACTATGACATTTGCAAACAAAATGTGTCAGTTTGACTGTAGAGTTTGAGTCAGCTGCTGCAGGAAACAAATGTAGACAAACTGTAAAGAGATTTGAAGTGTCTGTGAGTCTGAGTGAAACATCACACACAGCTGTTGGTTGATCTGTGATGTGATGGTCTCATTAACGCTCCAACACCGTCCCTCTGACCCTGTGAGTCGTGTCCAACAGTTTCAGCTAATGCTAATAAAGAAGCTGGTATCTGCAGTGGTCAGAGGTGGGTCCATCCTGAAGGAGGCAGAAACACATCCAGAAGACAGAGACACGTGCAGCTCGACCTGCTCACCTGACAGTTCTTGCAGCAGAGACCGTTGCTACAGTTGGAGCCTTTGGTCAGAGTGCAGTTCTTACAGCAGCTCTCTCCTTCTTTGGCACATTCCTGAAACACAAACACAAGCTGCTCTGACCAACGGCTGGGCTTGGATTAAAACACTGGATGTGATTTAAAGATATTTAGGAAAAATCTTGAACAAAATGCAAATATACTGCTTATTCAAAGTGTTTGAGGAATATTTAGAGCAGGGATGAGCCTGAAGGCAGCRAGCGGCCTGTGTTTCCTGTGACTGGGGGCGGGGCAAATGTTACAGCAGTAAAGTTGGGGACATTAAATGTTTTCTGTATTCAATAAGTGTTTGAACTCACAGCTGGACTGCCACAGTCACACTCCTCTCCTGGCTCAACGAAGCCGTTACCACACTCTGAAGGGTCCAGCAGCTGAGCAGAGTAAAACAAACATGTACTAAATGTGAAGTACTAAAATATGAGGTGAGGTGAAAATGATCTTGTCTGTGGTGTAAATTGACAAACAATTCAATAAAAGAACATGTAAATGTGAACTGCAAATAAATAATTGCATATTTTCCACAGCACACAGGTTTGTGTGTGTTTGATGTACCTTCAGAGGTTTGTTGAACAAACAGGCTCCGCCTCCACTGTACAGGAAGTTGTGATATTCCTCCACGTTGCAGTCAGAAAACTTCTTGGGCAGGTAGAAACTGTTCAATAAACCAAAACACATGAAAATAATACAAACACATCCACTGAGTGACTAAATACTACTTTATATTGTTAGTCAAAAATTACTATCTTTTGACTTCATATCATGGTTTTTTAGATGATTTTTTCAGGCATCAAAGTGGACACTATAAACACGGCAAACTGTGTTTTATGGTAAAGTTTTTATTTTTTAAACTTTATTACTGACACGTGTTAGCCATACTCACACATTATAGATATATAATTAAGATATGCAGCACAGATACTCTGAGCATCATTTATACTGTATACATGGGAAGTAAAGGATTATGAGAAGTTTATTATTTAATTAAATTATTTAATTTTGACATTATTTTTGTGTTACATGAGTAATTTGGCAGAAATATTCCTGCTTCATAGTTTCATTATTTCGCTGACGTTCTGAGTGCATCTGTAAGACCTTTATACTAACATTTTATTATGTAGCTCACTGTTCTTAAATTCAGCTAAATTTTACTATATGTTACATTTAAATGTTAATAATGTGTGTAATTATTAAATCCTAAATGAGTAAATCTAAATGTAAAATTAAAATTTGAAGTTTAAGTGTTCCAGAATGGAATGCAGCTTTTGATGTTGGTGCTTGGCTTTTGTTATGATGTCATCATCCTGAGACAATAGCGAAGCTAACTCTGCTAATCCTGCTAACTCTGCTAATCCTGCTAACTGTGCTAATCCTGCTAACTCTGCTACTCCTGCTAACTGTGCTAATCCTGCTAACTGTGCTAATCCTGCTAACTCTGCTACTCC